GAATTGAAGAGGCTCGTCAGATCAGAAGCTTGAAGAGGCTCGTCATATCGGCGAATTGAAGAGGCTCGTCAGATCGGCGAATTGAAGAGGCTCTATGTGAAATCGCTCCCAACAAACTTTCAGAATCATGTCTGTCCAATTAAAGAGGCTCGTCAGATCGGTAATGATCGCCAAGGTCAAGAGCTCGAACAACATTTCGGCCTCCGCGAAAATCTAGATTGGTTTAAAAAATGTTGCACTTCGACAAAAAAATGAAATCGAAGGACACCCGGATATCACTTAAAAAAAAAAAGACATGAAAAGGCCGATTCTAAATCCTATTCGGACCATTTTCAGTCGGACCCCAGCGACAATAATAATAAAATTTCAAGCAAGTACCTAAAAAAGGGTTGTGTATGTTGTGTATATGTTATGCGTATGTACTGAGTATGATTTGTATTGTGTATGTTGTGTATATGTCATATGTATGTTCTGTTTATGTTATGCTTATGTTTATGTTATGTATATGTTTTGTTTTTGTTTATCTTGGTATAATTCAACAGTGATTGATTTTGTGTTTATGTTTATGCTATGTATATGTTCTGTTTCTGTTTATCTTGGTATAATATCATCAGTGACTGATTTTTGTGATATCGTGTATGTTGTGTATATTTTTTTCTCGTGTTTTTTCATATGTTTGAATTTTCAAATATCAACTCTTTTTTCCTTCAGATATGAACAGACAAGAGTGCAACCAACATTAAGAGCTATAAAATAGCGAGAAGGGCTGCAAAGCGTGCCGTGAGCGTAGCGAAGGGTCAGGCCTATGATGACCTCTATCAGCGCCTAGGCACGAAGGAGGGGGAGAAGGACATTTATAAGATAGCTAGGATTCGGGAGAGGAAGACAAGGGACATCAACCAAATCAAATGCATCAAGGATGAGTCGGATCGGCCACTGGTGAAGGATGGGGAGATCAAGGACAGATGGCGTGAGTACTTCGACAAATTGTTTAATGGGGAGAGTGAGGGTCCTACCCTGGAGTTGGTTGACTCATTTGAGGATACCAATAGATGCTTGGTGAGGAGAATCCGAGAGGCAAAGATCGGAGAGGCTATAAAGAGGATGAATGGAGGAAAAGCAATGGGCCCTGATGGTATTCCTATTGAGGTGTGGCGATGTTTGGGCGCCAGAGCGTTAGTATGGTTAACTAAGCTTTTTAACCTCATCTTTCGGTCAAACAAGATG